TCAGCGCCTGGCTTCTTCCCTATCCACACCAGCAGGTCGACCGAGGGCCCTAGCACCTCCTCGATGAGTGACGGGTTGAGGTCAGCGGCGTACCAACCTAGGGCGATAAGGCAGGCGACGAATCTTGCCCCAGGGTAATATGCTTCGCACGGCACCCCGCCCACCCCTGGGGCGCTCCCGCTGGGGGCGAGGACGACGGCGGCAAGCTTTGCCCAACTTGGCCTGGGCCTGTCTGTGACCTCGATACCGGGGTGTCGCTGGAAATAGAGGTCGAGTAGTCGCTGGGCAGTGCCGGGGAGAGGGGGGGCGGAATGCCATATCGCACTGCGGCTGTCCAAGAGGACGTTGTCGATCTGGTTGGGTCTGTCGCGCCGCGTGCCGCTGCGGTCGCGCACGCCTAGGATGGCGCGGGTTTTCTTGTATATCTCCCGCCCCGTCCTGTAGCGGGCCGCCAGGGGTGAGCGCTCCGCCCCGGGACCTCTCTGAGAGGGGGATAGGCGCGCAGCTCTTCTCTGCGTGACCTCGGCGTCCCACGTCCTGAGCCACCAGCCAGCCTGGTCTGGGGTTAGGTCTTGCCCGTCCCACCCATACTCGTAAAGCCAAGCCGCCAGTGTTCCCACTGGGCGTGTCGTCTTACTCTTCTGGCTAGCTGCTGCTAGCAGTAGGCCAGGGGAAGCTCGCGCACGGTGCGATTTCAATTTTTTCCACCAGTCCTGCAGCGCTGAGGAGAAGGCATGCCTGCCGAATCTCATGAGGGTAGGGAGGACGGGCGGGGCGGGGCCGCCGTCCGCTGGCCCCCCTACCGCTTCTGGTTGCGTTCTGGGGGGATTGTCGAGGGAGGCGTCGCCATCGTCGTTGTCCGGGTGTCGGTCGGGGAACCCGCCCGGGCAGGCTGGTCTGATCCAGTCCGTCGACTGGAAGAGGCCGCCTAGGCTGACTGGTGGGACACCGAAGGAGAGCTCGAGGTGAACGTATAGCTGGCGGAGTTCCGCGTGCGCAGTAGTTGGGAGATTCCTGAGGTATGCGGCTTTCATGGTATCGTCCCTTCTAGCCCTCCTCGCACCCTGTGGTTCGAGTGTGATGAGGGCATGGTCCGACAGCGTGAGTCTCCACAGTTTGCGGGGCTCGTAAGCGTGGACGTCCTGGACCGGGCATGCACACATGTCGATATGCGATTCGCTCTCCCTGTCGATTCTGGCTGGGCCGGGCATGCGACTGGGGGCTGAGCCGGAGCTGGTCAAAAGGTCCCCCAGGAGGGCTGCTGCCCCCACCTCTCCATCTCTTGGGTGTTCAAGCTGTAGGTTGATGTCCCCGCCCCAATGTGTCGAGCGGCTCCCAACCCTCCGCTGCTATGGCGATCCCTGCAAGGGTGTCCTCCTTTCTGGTAGGGGGGAGGTACACTGACACCAGACGGATTCTCCTTTCGCCCTGCTGTGCGATGGCGGCAATGGCGCAGCCTCGGACCAGGACCCGTTGCTCCAGCAGGGGAATACCGTGGGGGAGGAGGATGCCGACCCCCCCAGCGAGTCCTCCAGTTGGCCCGAGGTACCCAAGGGAGGCCACCAGAGTCCTCGCTGGAAACATAGTTCTCCAAACCTCCGTTTCATGCTCAGACCAGCGTGTCTCTTGGATCAGGGCGATCCTATTCTTCATCGTGACCTGGGTCAGCAGTGCATGCTTAATCTGTATCTTCCCAGCTGCGCAGCTTCTGAGGTACCTCGCGCTCCAGCAGCTGAACCTGGGCAGGCTATTAACGGGGGTGGCGTTGGGGGCTCGTATCACGTCATCTAGGGTCAGGCTACCGCACATGGTGTCCCATGTGGGCTGCCTCCATGGGTCGGTGTGTAAGAGTGACCAAAGGCCCCTCGGTCCACGAATCTTGTGGTGGCACATGGCTTCTAGCGCACCGTTGAATGCGCGTCGTGCCTGCGCCCAGGCGCGCGCGTGAGTTCCCGGCACGAGGACGTGGCGGGGGGGGGGGCCAGCGCTCGGTGGAGCGCGTTGGGGCCCTCAGCCGAGTCTAGGGGCTTGCTACCTCGGGAAGGAGGGTTTCTTCGCGCCGGAGCTGTTCCGCGATGTCATCTGGGAAGGGGTGGTTTCTGAGCTGTGCCCACGGGCATTGTCTCCACGCGCACGCACGTGCTGCTGCCCATGCGCGCTATTTGGCTGCCCGTCGGGGCGGGGGTGCAGGCCCGCTCTTCTGGTCTTCCTGCGTTCCAGGCACGCATCGCAGAGACTATCCTGCGTTGGAGGCAGCGTGGGTCGAAGTGTATGCCGACCGCGTCGTGGAGGGTCCTGTCGCTTACTCCGAGTCCGCGGTAGTAACCAGCCAAGCCTATGGCTCTTGCTCTTTCGTCTGCGCTGGGGGGTCTGAGCCCGTGAGCCCTGCCCTCCTTCACTAACCATCTTCCCCAGGCCCTGACCTTGTCTTCCACGGCCGGGCCCCCCCCTTTCCCATCCGGACATGACTAGCCCGAGGCCTTCGGTACACCCTTGAAATCGCTGTTCTGCATCGCAATCAGCGAGCACCTTCCTTGCCCCTTGCTTCAGCTCTGTTGGGTTCCGGAGGAACCACCTGTAGTTACTGTCTTCGTTGTATAGGAGGCATAGGAGATGGGTCTGGTAGCTGCTGGGAAGAATGGCGTCTGGGTCATCCTGGGCGGCCCTAGACTGCGTCCATGTCGGGATCCTTCCGTCTGGTCTGTAAGCCCATCTGGGCCCCCAAGGGCTGGGGAGTCGGCTGCACGATATCGCGCTGGTGGGGGGAGGGAAGTTCGCGATCCATAGTCGCTCTCTGGGACTGGCCACATGATCACCCGCGTTCATTTTGACTGCCCATTCGGGGCTGAGCTCCCCCATGGCCATTCTCATGGCGCCCCTATGATCCAGTGGCATGGAGGCCACGTTTTCCACCAGGACCAGGACGGAAACGTCTGGCCTTCTTTTGTTTGCGAGGTACCAGGCTACTGGGACTGCAAAGAAGTGGGAGGACTGAGCTCCTGCCAGACCGTCCCTGCCAGCGTGCGCGCCTGCTGCTGATAGGTTGCCACGGGGGGGACCTGCCACTATTAGAAGGGTGCTGCCCTGATCGAGCGAGTCTAAGTGTTTTGTCCCAGGGGGTCCTGTTGTCGTGGGGGTCTTTACGTCTGAAGAGGTCCCATACGTCCTCCGCTATTTGTCTGTGCGGTGGGCCTCCGTCTTGAGGGTCTGGGGCGTTTGCCCATCTGCGCGTCACCGCCTCCGCCGCAGCCCTATTGCGCTCCACGAAGGCCGAGGATCGAAAGTTGCTGGTGGCTCCTAGCTTGTTGACAATGTCGCCCACCGCAAGTCTGGCGATTCCCCAGCCGTCAAAGAGCGACACCAGGTGTAGGGGGGAGTGTTCATTCGTGGGGCCGTGTTGTGCTGCAGGTCCGCCTTCACCTGTCCTTTGCTCCTGCTGTGTGAAGTCCCGCTCCGCTGCTTCCTGTATGCGTAGCCTGCCCGCAATGTCGTCGGCCGCTTGGTCGGGTCCTAGACGGATGGTGCCTTGTTCATGCAGGGACTGTAGCGCATCTCGGATGGTGTTGTTGACCAAGCCTGCTACCTGGTAGGCGGCAAGCACCTGGTCGGGAGGGGCTACTGGGGAGAGCCCGGTTTCGCGATCTCTGTGCTGTGTCCATACCTGTTGGAAGACGTCGATTGGTTGTGAGGCTGCGGTGGGTTCACTGGTGGTTGTAAGGGAGTTGATCCTGGGCCTTACCCTCCTTACCCTCCTTGTTCCTTCTCCTGGCCCTCGCAGTTCAATCGCGGTGCGTGCGAGCCCCCTTCCAGGTTCACTCTGCACCGGCACTGTCGGTTGAGCTCCCCACATCGTTACCAGGGTGCGGGAGTTGTTCTCTGCCGGCCTTGCGGTTCTCGGCCTTGTCCTGGGTCGCGTCCTCGTTCCCAGGGGGCCGCCTGCCGGACCCTCCTGCCTCGACTTCTACCCTGACGTCGCACAGGGCCTGTCGGCGTCCTGTCCCTGTCCCGCTGGTCTGCCTGCTGCTGTTGTTGGTGTTGGGCCGCAGGTCCCCTCGGCAGCGCCCACCCCTCGGGGCTGGCCGCCTGGGTGGTGCATCCTCTGCGGGGGGGTCGGAGGAAGCCCTGTCTCAGCTTCCTGTGGTGGTCGCTCCGTGGGGCTGCCGTGGGGCGGGTCTCCCCTGAGGTTGAGCCAGGTGGGATCGACCGTCCTGAGTCTGTGGGTGTTGGGGCCGGGAGTGTCACCCATGGCTACGGAGAGGATCCTTTCGAGGATCTCTTCGTTTAGGGGGGAGAACGGGCATGCCGGCCCTCCCGCTTCGGGAATTATGTTTGCTGCGGCTTGTAGGTGCGCGCAGGCGTCGTCCGCGGCTAGGGCCGCGTTTTTGGACAGTATGTTTCTGCCTGCGGAGTTCCTTGTGCCGATCGGCGGGTGTTGCGCCCAGTACGCCTTGAGGGGGGTGATCAGTCTGTGGGATAGGTAGGCTCTGGTGAACACATGTCTGACCTGCTTTTCGAGTTGAAGCATGGAAGTGCCCCAGGCGATGGCGCTGAGCACTGTCCTCCACTCTGGTGGGGATACGCGGAGCGTCAAGAATTGAGCAGCGTAGCGTGAAGCATATTCTGGATGGCGGGCGGCGATGGAGCCCAGCCAGAAGGAAGAGGAGGAGGCAGACGGGGAGAAAAGGAAGGACAACGAGAAAGACGAACGACGAGGGACGGCACAGCAGTTGGCACAGGCGAAACGAGGCCCTGGGGCCGTCCCCCAGGGCCACTTGTTCACCCTGAGTCGTCTTCTGACGGTCCCGGGGCCCGTGGAGGGCCCAAAGAGCCCGAGAACGGCGAGAAAACTCGGGACCCGTCTCCCCTGGGATCAGTGTCCCCCGTGGCGCGCCAGGTTCGAACGCGGCGTGCCGTCCCGGTCTTTCCTGCGCAGCGCGCAAGCGCGCAGTACGAGCACGCGCGAGAGCACGCCTCCCACGCGGCGGGGGGGGCGTGGGCGCCAGGAGGTCTGGGGCGAGCGTCTCGATGGACGTGTGTGGCTTCTCCTGCCGAGGGCTGGGCGTGTCCTCCTCCTCCTCCTCCTCCTCCTCCTCCTCCTCCTCCTCCTCCTCCTCCTCCTCCTCCTTGCCTCCTCCTCCTTACCTCCTCCTCCTCATCATCATCATCATCCTCCTCATCCTGCTCCTCCTCCTCCTCCCCCACATCCCCCCCCTCCCCCTCCTCGCCCTCGCCCTCGCCCTGGACCTCGCCCTGCCCCTCGTCCTCTTCATTATCATCATCCTTCCTCCTCGCCCGCTCCTGATCCCCCCTCTCCCACCCTCCTTCTGAGGGGCAACGATAGAAGGGGGGGGCTGGCTCTAGCGAGGGGGACAAATCGACCCTGGAATCGGCGATCCATCGCCCATTGATCGGCCAGAACCGCCCCGATGGCGAATCCGCACTTTCCTCGGCGGGGTAAGCCATCGGGCCCCGATCGGCGATCAATTCGGTGGTTCCTGAGGGATGGGGTCCTGAGGACGAGGTGCCTCAAACTATGTAAATCCACCCTTGGATCCCTTCCTATCCTTAGGACCCCCTCCTTCAGGACCCCACCTTTGAGCCACCGATCAATGAGCGATTGGGGGTCCCGTCCCCGATCGCCTTCAAGACATAACTCGGGCCTCCAGCGGCCGTTCGGGGCGATCCAGGCACCCCTGGAACGCTCTCGGCGAGGCGCAGCCGATGGAATGCATCCCGAGGTTGAACAGCCGCCGAGAGAACCGCTCAAGACGTCCAGAACCCTGGAACCTCGAGCCCAAAACTACCCCCCCACCCCCCCCTGAGCCTATCCCCCACCGAACGTTGCCCCTGATCCTCCGCATACAATAAGAGCTCGACCACAAGAAACCTGCCAAAAGAAACCCAACCCTGAGTCCCCAGGACGTCCCCTGACTTTTGGCGTGGGAGCCTTCACGCTTCGTCGCCAAACCATCGAGACCCAAGAAACCCAGGGCACCCTCTGGGGCAGGCAGGGTGCTTCTTGGCGTGGGTCTCCACTGCAGTGGCCGTCGGGCGGCAGCGGCCGCGGCTGAAGCCGGCGGCGCTGAGGGCCCCACCCGGCGGGGCCGTGCGGCGCGGCCGCGGCGGCGGCCGCTCAGGCTCCACGCCCGCCGCACGCCCGCAGGAGGGCTGCTCGGGTGCCAGAACCGGGCTCGGCGTCGAGGTTCGGCCTCGGTCCAGAACTTCGGGGAAGGAAGAGTGGCATGAACGTAAAACTCGGAGGTCCGCGCGGACTTCTCGGATCGGCGCTGGGGCCCCCTGGCGGCGCCTCAGGCGCCGCCCCTGGCGTGCTCCGCGCGCCAGGGAGGGGGGTCAGCGCGGATCCGAGAAATCCGCGAAGACCTCCGAGTTTTTATGTTCATGCCATTCTTCGTTCCCCTAGAAATGGCCCCGAGGCTGGAAGAGCAAGGGGCACGCGTGCCCCAGACAGCGCATGCATCCGCCGCCTGGCCCTCCAGCCGATGCCCTGCACGCCGCCACGCTGGTCCAGGGCAGGCTGTGCTGCCCAGCGGAAGGGGACGAGGAGGGAAGAAATGACTGTACGAGATCCGTACCTCGGGCGCGGCGCAGCTGCTGGAAAGCACCCCGAGGCCGGAAGACCGACGCGAACCGACGACAGCGCCCGAAAGCCCCAAAAGCTACGAGCCTCGAAGGCTCCCCTCCCCCCGTTCTCTCGGGCGGCGAAATCTGCGAGAGAGCGTGATCCACCGCAGCTTTACTATGGAAAATTCCCCCCCTCTTCCTCTGGAACCCGGGGGTCCCCCCCCCCTCCGAAAATCCCCCCCCCTGCTGGACCCCCCCCCCCGTTCTCTCGGGCGACGAAATCTGCGAGAGAGCGTGATCCACCGCCGCTTTACTGTGGAAAATTCCCCCCCCCCCTCTTCCTCCGGAACCCAGGGGTCCCCCCCCCTCCGAAAATACCCCCCCCCCCTGCTGGAAACCCCCCGTTCTCTCGGGCGACGAATCTGCGAAGAGCGTGATCCACCGCCGCTTTACTGTGGAAAATTCCCCCCCCCCCTCTTCCTCCCGAACCCGGGGGTCCCCCCCCCCTCCGAAAATCCCCCCCCTGCTGGAACCCCCCCCCGTTCTCGGGCGACGAGATCTGCACACGTCCACTGCTCCCCGGCCAGGCCCCCTCCTGAACCCAGCAGCGGTGTCCACGCCGCGCCCTGCTGGCCAGGAAGGCGTTTACACGGCTGCTGGGTTAGGGGGCCACACGCGAACCCTACCCCTACCCCCCACGACTTCTGAGGGGGAGGGTGGGGTTCGCTTCAATCGGGAGCTCTCGAGCGAAGTGAGCCCCACCCTCCCCCTCAGAAGTCGCGGGAGGCAGGGGTGGGGTTCGCATGTGGCCCCCTATTCAGGGCGGTCCTGCCCAGAAAGCAGTGGATATGTGCAGACTTCGTCGCCCGAGAGAGCCGAAGGAGGGAAAGCTTCGAGGCTCGAAGATCTCGAGGCTTCCGGGCGCTGCGGTCGGCTCGCGTCGGTCCTCTTCCAGCCATCGGGGTGCTTCCCAGCAGCTGCGCCGCGCCCGAGGGCGTTCCCCGTGGGGGGGGCCGGAACGTCCCGAGCGGCCGCCAGAGAGCCGAGCTACGACTCAAAAACCAAAGAGGTGGAGAGGGAATGGGGGGGAAATGGGGGGGTGGGGAGAATTGCCCCTGGCAGCAGCTGGAGAATTCAATGTATGAGCCACATGTGGTGGTATATCTGATGTGCGATGTGTGCTTCACCGACTTGCACCAGCCAATGATCTTGCGTGCGCGCTCCGTTGCGGGCCTTCTCTCAGAAGGTTCGGATGTCTCCATCGGCCTTCTGAGAATTTTTTTGTGAGCCTTCCCCAAGGACAACAAAAATTGCCCTGGCGAGGGGCCAAAACCGTATGCAATTGTGGGTACCGCAGTATGAATACAGCATTCGGTGGAGCTCCCTATGGGGGCCACAAAACGTGTGAGGGTTGTGCCGAAATGGGGCGGTGGTGCCATGCGAATCCTGCCACTGGGGCCTGCGGTGGGGGCTTCCTATGGGGCCGCGTAACGTGTGACGGTGCCGAAATGGGGCGGTGCTGCCATGCGAACCCTGCCTCTGGGGCGAAACGTGTGAGGCGTGTGCCAGAATGGGTGCGATGGCGCCATGCGAACCCTGCCACGGGCGCCTTCGGTAGATCTTCCTATGGGGCTGCGAAGGGTGTGCTGGAGTGGGGCGGTGGTGCCATGCGAACCCTGCCACTGGGACTTTTGGTGGAGCTCCCTATGGGGCCATGAAACGCGTTAGGGGTGCCGAAATTGAGCGGTGGTGCCATGCGAACCCTGCTACTGGGGCCTACGGTGGAGCTCCCGTGGGGCCACGAAACGTGTGAGGGGTGTGCCGAAATGGGGCGGTGGCCCATGCGAACCCTGCCACTGGCGCCTTCGGTGGAGCTCCCCATGGGTCCACGAAACGCTGTACTGGGTGGGAGAACCGCATACTGATGAGGGCAGAGGCAAGGAGAGGAGGAGGGAGGAGGGAGGGGGAGGGTTCCAGGGAGGAGGGGCGCGGGCCGTTTTCTCTCAAAACAAGGACCCAACACCACAGGATGGTGGTGAAAAAACTTTCAGAAGGCGCGAGGGAGTCTGAGAAGTCTTGCCGCCTTCTGAGAAGGCCTTTTCCTTTTCAATGTGTCCCCCTCTCTCGCCGCCGAAATGGGGGGGTGAGGGGGGGGAGGAAGGGAGCGGGCGGAGGGGTCTGGGCGCTCTTTCCCATGGCGTGGCCTCGGGAGCAACGTCGGGGAGGTCCTGGGGGCGATTTTGTGTGACCGGCACCCCCCTGCTGCGCACGTACCTTTACGTGTGAGGAGTCCGCTGGCCGCATGTTCGATACCCCTTGGCGCCTACACATGAAAGCACGTGTCAAACACACGGGCGGCAGATGCCACTTACACTCCCCCTCGGGCGCGTGCTTGCAAGTCTGAAATAGGTCGTGTGTTCGACACCCCCTTGGCGCATATACACGTGAGAACCGTGTCAAACGCACGTTTGCCAAGCGCATGTTCGATATCCCGTCGGGCGCGTAGTTTCACGTGTGGCGAATCCGCCGGTCACATGTTCGATACCCCCTTGGCGCGTGCATACGTGAAACAAGTGCCAAAGGCATGTTCGATATCTCCCCTCGGCGCACGTACTGCTACGTGCGAAGAATCCGACCGCCGCATGTTCGATAGCCGCCCATGGCAAAATCACACGTGACAACACGTGCCAATTCAAGCGCGGAAAACGCCTGTTCCATCCCCCCTCCGCGCTCGACACCCTTCTGGTGCAAGGCCAAACGCCAGAGAGAACTCAAGGCCAGAGCCTTTCTCTCCCAAAAGAGAAAGCACCGCACAACGAACAAGAATATAAAAAAGCGAGCGAATGGTTGCGCATGCGCCGCGTCCCCAAGTGCCCGGATGAAGGAGGTATCCGTCGAGGTCGTGCACACGAGCACCCAGTTCATACACAGTCAACCCGTATCAGTAGGATGCGCGATAAGGACGCAAGGGCCTGGGAAAGCCACGTCGGCGCCTTGCGAAAGCGGGGCGCGGTCAGCAAAAGCGGCCAGGGATGGGCCGACGGGGCAATGATGCAAGGGTACCCTGGGGAAGGTTGCCCCTGCTTATTATGAAAGAGAGCCCAGAATTGGATCGATAAGTCGGATCGGCGATCGAAATGAATCGATTCGGCAGAAATCGGCAGCCAAATCGGGAGAAGTCTAATCGGCAGAAATCGACAGGCTGGTACCTCCCTTGAGGAATCGGCCTCCAATCCGAAGTCGGATCGAATCGGTATCGTAGGCCACCGAAATCGAACCGAATCCAATTGGAGGACTCGAAATGAGCCCTGTCATGAGGGTTGACTGTAGAGCGGGTGAAAGAGGGATGATCGTACCAGTGAGCGTATCCGCATATGCCCACCCTCTGGGGGACAGCGCCCGCACTATGAGTCGGGATGCCCCCCAGAGACGCGCGCGCCTCAAGGGCAGCGCACAATGAGGCGAGAGGTAGAGAGACGCACGCGTCGCCACTGGCCAGGCCTGCACCATCGTACACAGCGGGCAACCCCCGCAGGCGCCAGCCGCACTCCAGAGCGAGGAAGCCCTGGCAGGGCCCGTGCTTCGGAGGCGGGGACCCGGGCCAGGCCAGCTGTGTGCCCGCGGCCGGCGCGCCGGGGCGGCCAGGAGGGCGCGACGCGGAGGCGTCTGGCGCGGGCGCCTCGAAGGACAGCCCGCGGCACGCAAAGGCGAGCGGCGCTGGGGAGTCTGCGGAATCCCACGGGGTTCGATGGGATTCCACGGGATCATATGGGACTAGATGAGGTTTTATGGGATGCGATGGGCTCATTTGGGATTCAATGTGTACATGAACGTTTACAAATAAACATATGTGCATAAATACATACAAACAATTTACATATACACACCTTTACCTATTCACAAGTATATATACACAAGTATACACATACATAAATATAATATGCACAACTGTGCAAACATATATACCAACAAACATATAAACATGTGTACGTATATCCATGTATAGACATATATATATATATATGAGTTACGTATGTATGTGTGTATACATATATACGTATATAACTGTAGACATGTAGTTATATATGTGCATATAAATATATGTATATATATATATGTGCATGAATACCCGTATATATATACATACAAACATACATGCATGCATGCATGCATACATACATACATGCATGTATACATACATACCGATATACATGCATGCATGCCTACACACATACATGCATGCATGCATGCATGCATGCATGCATGCATGCATGCATGCATACATGTAGAGAGAGAGAGAGACCAACACAGGTATACAAACATATACAAGTATGCATAATATATATATATATATATACACATATATACACACACGTATATGTGGGATTAAGTTCTCTCTCTCTCTCTCTGTTCAATCGGACTCCCCAGGCTGGCGCTCCAGCCACTTCCGCCCCCTGGGGGCCCCTTCCGTGCCACGGGTGCGCGCCCACCGCGGAGGCCGCGAGAGACGAGAGGCACGCCGCCAGCGCTCCTTGCGCGAGGCGGGGCGGGGGGGAGAAGGGGCACTGGCAGGCAGCACGCGGGTCCCGAGAGACGGGTCACCTGGGGCCTTCCCCGGCTGGGGACGCGCGAGGCGGCGCTGGGGAGGAGGAGCAGGAGGGGGAGGAGGGGAAGGAGAGGGAGGGGAGGAGGGGGAGGAAGAGGAGGAGGAGGAGGAGGAGGAGCAGGAGCAGGAGGAGGAGGAGGAGGAGCAGGAGGAGGATGAAAAGGAAGAGGGAGACTGGCAAAAAACCAGCGGCTCCCGAGAGACATGGCCCCTTGTTGTGCCCGTGCCTTCTCCGGCTGGACCGCCTGCTGGTCCCAGGCTGTCGCTTGACAAGCGCGGAGGGCCCGAGCAGGGCCGCGGGGGCCCGAGAACGGTGAGCCAACGATCCGGGGGCCCGGCCCCCTCGGGACCTGCATCCTTCATGATGGCGAGGGAACGAGGCGGGGGAGACGAGAGAGTAGGATAGCAGGTTCTCCTGGCGCCTCCTGGCGCCGGGAGGCGCCCGTGACTCGGGGAATGGGCCTGGCGGCGGGGCGGAAACCAGCTGCATGCCGCAGATTCCGCACCCCCCCCTTTCCCTATCCCCCCTATCGTCCGGCCCGAATCAAGGGGGGGGGCTGCGGCGACCTGGGAGAGAGTGGCGGGGGTCGGGGTGGCCCGAGTCCTCCCAGATACGCCCCTCCCGCCATCCGCCACTCCCCCGCACCCTGTCGGTCCAGCGCTGCTGGACCGGAGCACCAGCTCGCTCCTGGCCCCCCGACGGCCCAGGAGCACACGCGCGCAGCGCCACCTCCCTCCCCCCATTAAGTCGGGCGTGTCCCCCTACAGACGGATTTTGAACGAACAATGAAAAATTCCCTAAAAATGCTCAAAAGATGCCGAAAACATTCAACAAAAATAATCCCCTGACTACTTTTTGACTATTTTTGAATACTCCCCCTGAAGAGGGACAGGCCCGACTTAACAATAGGCTTCCGTCCTTGAGCAGCTTGTTCCTCCCAGGGTAGTCCACGGCGATGAGCTCGACGTCCTGCGAGCGGCACGGCCCCGACCGCGGGATGCATGCTGCGAGGGGGAGGGGCCCCCATCTGGCTGCAGCGACCAGCCCGCGAGGGCCCTCCTCGGTGCGCTGCGTCGGGAGGGGCGCGGGGGGGAGGAGAGGTCCTGGGCATCGAGGCCCAGGCCCCCGGCCGACGGAGGGACTGAAGTGTGGGGGGGGGCGGGGTCGGGGGCAGGCCATGTGGTGTCCGTTTTCTTCTTCGGCGTCTCGACGTTGAGCAGAAGGGGCGAGGGCACCCTGGAGGCAAGCAGGGTGTTTCTTGGCATGGGTCTCCACTGTAAACGCACCGAGGGAAGGCATCGAACAGTGAGCGTCTTCTTACTCGGCGATTCGACATTGGGCGGAAGGGTGGGCGGGAGCGGGGGGGGGCATCTGGCTCCGGACCTCAGCTTGGTGCGACTCCTTGCAGCAGTGCGTCCGATGGGGAGGGACTCCACCTTCTTGAAACAGGCGCCAAGGACAGCCAAGATCTACTCCACGGAGGGGGGGAAGGGGGTGCGAGGGCCCGCGTCGATCGGCAACACAATGCATATGAAAACGATCCCGTGAAGGGCTTCTCTGAAACTTTTGTCTGGGAAGCCGTCGGCAACGGCAGGGACAGCAGCCGCCGAAGCAGCAGCGGCGGCAGATGCATCGCGAGCACCGCGAGCAGCAGGGACAGCGTCAACACCTGGAGCAGAAAGGCGAGGAGGGTGGGAGCAGGGCGGATCGGGGGCCACCCTCCTCCTCCTCCTCCTC